TTAAACGTGCCACCCGGCTGTAGTGAATGTACTGCAGTAGGGTGGCAAGTAGTTATTAGACAGAAGGAATAAGGAATTTGATCATTCCTGCAGTTGCTAAATATTAGAACACAGATTAGAACGGTAGTATGCAAATATCATGTATATTTTTGTTTTATTTGCTTACCTCCTTTCCACTTGCATCTGCAAATAAATTTCCCCCTATATGCTGTGGATATGTTATAAAAGTCCTCCAATTGAGGCTCAACAGATGACATTTTTCACAGCTGCTGGTTCTCAATCCCAACTGTTAAGAACTCTGGTACCCACTGGACATTAGAAACCAATCAAAATGGTTCCATATTATGTGAATACTATGTCAGATTATTGATCACATGCAGGATGGAGGCTTCACTGAAAAAATATAAGTCTCCAGCCTACAGCATAGCATTTTCCAAGCACAGAGACTTAGCTGTCATCTATAGCTCCAGGTGCAATACTAAGTCAGGAGCCAGGAGGGCCAAAGCTTGATTTGCACAATTGCTTGGATTGGCTATCACAATGAACAGTAACTGTCTGGCCCACCCCTTTACACATTCTCCACTTGAATTAAAAATAAGATAAAATGCTCTCTTTGCTAGAGGAAAAATGTCTGTGTATGAATAAATGGACAGAAGTGTAAACTCTCCAGTGCCTTGAGGGAGCCAATGTCAGGGGAAGGCCAGGGGTTCAGATGTGTGAATGGCCTAGGAATAATGTTTCCGGAGATGCAGACCTCCTCAGATGAGGAGATCAATAAACTGGACGAAAACATACAGGTGCCGCAAACACCTAGCACATTATCCAAAGTTTATTAAAAAGTGTAAAAAGACAACAAATACAAAAAATAGGACTTATCAATATCATCTAGGAGGTTATTTTTTTAGGAAACCTGAGTATAGGAGCTTCATAGCAACTAATAGGGTGAAGTGTGTCCAGACAACGTTGGTGTCCTCTTGGAACACTCTATTCGATCTAAAAGGCAGCTATAGATGTGGAATAGGAAACTGTGGATGTTGCCAATTCACGTGGCATAGAAAGAAAGAAGTGATGGGTAATGATGGTATTTCCTATAAGATCAAACAATTTAGCAATTGCAGCTCACAATACGTTGTTTATGGTCTTAATTGCCCTTGCAGCCTTTTGTGCGTGGTCCGTACGTCCCGCACACTGCGTATCAGATTGGGAGAGCATAAAATAAATTTCAAACATGGTCGTGAGGGACATTCCATTCCCAACCATTTTCAAGAAAAACATGATAATAATCCAGTGGGTCTCAGGGTTTTTGGCCTAGAAAGCATTCCTAGAGACATTGACACTGGCAGACGATTTTGCAGATTATGTCAGAGAGAGACCTTTTGGATTCACCGTCTGGGCACTCTGTCACCTATAGGGCTTAATGAAGGGCTAGATGTAAATGCTTTGATCCACTGATAATGTGACATATTATTATTATACAGTATTTATATATGGCGCCAACAGTTTGCTCAGCGCTGTACATTATAATGGGAGACCGTACACGAGACAGCACAGTGACAATACAATACACGAGGGGTTTGAGGGCCCTGCTCCTTGGAGCTTACAATCTAGGAGGGAGGGGATAGTGGTACAGGAGGAAATAGCTGTGGGAAATGGAATGGTAGGAAGAGTGGAGGAGATCGGCAAGTAGGTGAGGGCGGGGTAGGCTTCCCTGAAGAGATGGGTTTTCAGGGTGCGCCTAAAGGTGAGGAGGGTAGGTGACAGTCTGATGGATTGGGGTAGTGAGTTTCCAGAGGATGGGGGAAGCCCTGGAGAAGTCCTGGAGATGGGCATGGGAGGAGGAGACATTGTTTTTAATACTGAACTTTATAATTTCTCTTTAGTAATAAGGAGTGATCTAGGTCAGTGTCTGGTTAAGGTCAAAGTCCAGTGGGTCATACTTATATACAGTATTTGTACCATCTATGTAATTTTTTTTTCCGCATTTTATGGTTTCTATCAACTCCCATGATCCCCTCCTCTTTTGGGTTTGAAGGGAGGGGCTTTGCTATAGGTGGTACTGGCCACACACATATAAAGTAAGGCTCCAATGCAGGTTGGCCATAGCTCTGAGGAAAGGGATTCATCCTCGAAACGCGTCAGGTGGCAGACCACACCATCAGTCGGACACTCTGCCATCTTTGCTGCCATCTCTATGGCTTTATATATATGCATTATGTTTGTGAGTATATTTTTTTACTTTTTAATGAAATGTGGATAATGCTCTAGGTGTTTTGCGCCACCTGTAAGCTTTCTTCCTGTGTATAAATAATAAATAAATAAAAGCTATAATAAGAGTGATCTAGGTCAGTGTCAGGTTTAAGGTCAAAGTCAGTGGGCTCCATTTACAAAAGCAGATTGCATGCAGTATTTAAATCATCTGACACATTTTCTCTAAATAAATATCATATGTGGTCCTGAAACTGTCAATTCACTATACCGTTATGTGGTATTTACTGCAAAACTGTCACACTGCTCGATAAACACTGCATAAAAAGGGTTAAAGCCAATTCACAGAAGAAAATAAATAATTAAATGCATGAGGTAATTTAGTAGTGGTCCAGGCATATGGTAACTAAAGAAAGTGTTCTATTTTAGCTGGTTAAGGAGCCAGTGGCCTCCAGCATTCTTAACAACCAGTAACTGTCATGGTAACTAAGGAGCAGGCAGCCGCCGCGTCCTTAACAAGCGATGAGTCATCAAGCTTCCCCAATGACAACTGAATGTAAACAATTAAAGAATATGCAAAAAAAACACGGGGTTCCCCCCCCCCCCAATTCTTACCAGGCCTTTTGGGTCTGGTATGGATTTTTAGGGAGGAAACCCACACAAAAATGTAAAAAAAATGTTGTGGGGGGCCCCCCTCCAAAATTTATATCAGACCCTTATCCGGACATGCAGCCTGGCAGGCTAGGAAGGGGGGGATGAGCTAGTGCCCTCCAAATCATTCCAGGCCACATGACCTCAACATGGGGGCTCCCCCCAAAGCACCTTGGGGGGACAAGATGCTTATTGGACTCCCATTGGAAGTCCCCAGATTCCACCCCCCATATGAATGAGTAGGGGTACATAGTACCCCTACTCATTCACCAAAAAAGTGGAAAAAGTGAGTAAAAACTGATTTTACAAATCCTTAATTCAAAGCCCCCCAAAAAAAGAAAATAAATGTCCCCCGAAGTAGATCCAAATTAATCATGATGAACGCCGGCCACTGACCCCAAAAAAAAGAAGAAAAGGTCATCAGCCGATGAAGGCTCCCACCAAATGACAGCTCTGCTGCCTCCTGCCGCTAAATAAATTAAAGAATGGGGCCACCCGATGATGTCATCACCTGGAGCATCCCTTTGGGGGACATTTATTTTTGTTTTTGAATAAAGGACTTGTCAAAAACTGTTGTTTTTATTCACTTTTCCACTTTTTTGGCGAATGAGTAGGGGTACAGAAGAGAGTAGCCACCAGCCCAAGGGATACTTTTCATTCAAAGTACTGAAAATAAACCCTAGGCTTTAAAAATTTGATTGGACCTTTGTCTCTAGTTTAATTTTATTTTCACTATTCCCCAGAGCTGCAATCCCTCTGGGTTTTTATTGGGATGTTTTCTAAAACTGGCTTATACACGGTAATGTTTAAAGCCCCTCTTGATATTGTATAATAATTCATTCTCCCAATGTACTGATAGCACATCCTATAAATTGATATCCATTGGAACATTGTACTACAAACTGTAAATTACCCTCTTTGAACAACCGGATATAAATGGTTTATTTCGATATTCTTCATAAGTGGTATTGGATATCAAGGATTCTCTTTATCTTGTTTTACATTTATTATATACACACACCTAGCAATCTCCTGCACACAAATAAACCTTTTTTCCCAGACATGTAAATTTTCTTTCATTCATAGGAGGATTTACAATATTATGAGCAACTTTTTGCCTCAGTGTGGTTGCTCTCTTGTATGTAATTTTTGGTCTTCTGGAGGGTAAGGATTCCGTGATGGTGTGACTTTTGGGGGTGGGGGGGGACCTCTGTATCATCTCCCCAAATCCCTCTTCTGTGTAAAGGCACCCTGAGCCACCCACAGCAGGGTGCTGTGTCTGGATATTGTGTAGACATGTATAGGTTGGGTGTGGGGGTTGTCCATTGTTCACTGCCAGGTGGTTGCCCCATTGTTCTATTGTGTCTTGCTTGCCAGCAAACTATTATGGGATGCATGTGTTCCCCTATTGTCTACTGCCATGTGGTGTATCCCATTGTTCTATTGTGTGTCTTGGTTTGGTGGGGGGTGTTTCTGTCAGTCCTTCCCTCCTGATGGGATGGTCTGCTGATGTGTTTCCTGTTCCTGGTTGTATTTCCCCGCCCTGTGCATATATCTTGTGTTTGTGTAAAAATAAAGCAGTTTCACTTCCTGTCTTGAGAGTCTGGTGCTGTCTATTTCCTGCATGAACAGCGGTGGTGTCCTTGGATTTGTGTTTGGACCGGGGAGTCTAACGGAAATACCCTATATGGTATACCCTATAATATGGTTCCGTTACAGGTTCTAACATCTTATCCCCAAATAAAATTGGCCAATGTTTTTTTTTTATAATAGCCTCAAATTGTCTGTGCTGAATATTGTAATCTGTAATAAAATTAAAATCCATCTGTACCATACGGTTTCTGTTATTAGAGAGTTAAACCCCCAAAATACCACTATTTCTTTATTTTGTAAAGTGCTGCGCAAACTTTTGGTGCTATAAATCCTGTATAATAATAATATAATAATAATTTGCTATAGTGGGAACTGGGTTAATTTTTTTACCCATATTATTGCAATTCACTGTCCTTGTAATAAAATCAGTCCTCATCACTCTTCCAAATAACCACCTTGTGAAGCTATTTGCAGCTATTGATCACTAAGACAGAATGGAGAATTATATGCATATTATAGGTTTCCTATATAATTATATTATATATTATGGATGTATGTTTTTTAACAATTTTTATAATGGTAATGTATACAGTAGATATGGATTGCATTGATAACATATAATCAGGTTTAAATGGTATGTATGGTATGTATGTTAGTAGCTACAATTATGTATTTTCCCAAAAAATAATCAGGTCAGTATAGTATAGGTCCACAAGTAAAGAACATATACTATAAGTCAGGGGCAGACTGACAACTCATGGGGCCCCCGGGCAATAGGGGATCATGGGGCCCCTGTGTCCTTGCCCAAACTCAAAAAAGCCTATGAAAAAGGTACTAGGGGCATTTCATGGGGCCCCCAACTGACCCCGGGCCCTCGGGCAGTGCCCGAATTTCCAAATGGTCAGTCCGCCCCTGCTATAAGTAGATGTCTTGGTGCATCAGTCTACCTCTTGACAAAGACCTTACGATGAAATGAGTTAAAAGAAGCTTGTGCACACAAAAAATGTAGACTACAATGTCTACTGTGGAACAGAGCCAGTATCTGGGGAGTGTGGGAAACTTTTGTGGAATGCATACATGGCAGTGGTGATAATCCTTGGAAAATAAGGAAACTTTTATGAAAGTATTTTACACTGTGGAAGTGTATACGCTTAGTATTATGATTTTAAATGTTAATATATGACAGAGTATTTCAGTTTACTTGCACAAATTGTGCTCAAAATGTGTGCTCCAGGTTTGTATTAAATGCTACCAAATAAATGTTGTATAGGTTCACCTTTGGAACATGTTTCATATTCCACCCATATTTAGGATGGAACAAGTAATGTGTTCCAGCTCCTGACTCCTCTTTTCCCTGATCTCCCCTCCCTGTGACAGTAAGCAAGGATCTTCCCCGGGTGGGGCTTTGCCCATATGGTCACATCATTCTTTTACAGAGTTCTGTGATTGAAAGAACTATATCTACCATCGGCCTCCACAGCCAGGGGTGGACTCACAACTCATGGAGCCCCGGGCAATAGGGGATCATGGGGCCCCTTTGTCCTTGCCAAAACTCAAAAAAGCCTATGAAAAAGGTATCACGGGCATCTCATGGGGCCCCCTACTGACCCCGGGCCCTCGGGCAGTGCCCGAGTTTCCAAATGGTCAGTCCGCCCCTGTCCACAGCCTAATAGCCTATACTTCTCAATGAACTGCAAGGGTGTTGGTGAGCACTCTTGTAGTCCATTAATTCTTCCTGCCATTCAGTAACTGCCTGCTCAAACAAGGTATGGGCAGACAGCTTACTGAGTGTTTGCAAGATCCAGAATCTGTTGAACAGGTGCAATGCCTTACAGGCAGCAATGTAAAACATTAATAAATGCACATATTTTACCTGCACAAAGATGTGCATCTATTATTTTTTGTAAAGGTGAACTTAGGGGTTGATTTAGTAAAGGCAAATAGACTGTGCACTTTGCAAAGTGCAGTTGCACTCTGCAAAAGCAGTTGCTCCAGAGCCTAGTAAATGAGCAGAAACTCTGACTTCAATCATCAAAATCACATGCAAGGAAAAATGCTGTTTTTTTATTTTCTCTGCGCATGATTGGGTATTCTTTGCAAAGTGAAGCTGTACCACATTTACTAAGCCCTGGAACAACTGCACTTCGTAAGGTCTTTTTACCTTTAGTAAATCAGCCCCCTAGTCTTTAAGAAATGTATAATAGTCATAAAGAAAACTGTCAAAATAGCTGATGTTACTAAATTTGGCCTTGCATCTAGGCATCAATGCCCTCTAGTCAATAAAGGGTTAATTTAAAATATTAACAGTCTTAAATATCATATAAGTACAGCATTTCAATCTTACATATGCATGTGTTTTCATCAACATCATTTTCTAAAGCTTTCTAGAATGAAAGCTTGCTTGTAAACCTCTAAATCCAATTAATAATCTGAGTAAAGTTTACAATTTAGATTGTAGTTTCTAACTTTTTATTGCATTTGTAGGAAATGCCATCTGTTCGTGGCATTTTATAAGCATTTCAATTGATCACACATAAAAGTATGTAAGAAATAGAAGAAAAGAGATATTTAGAGAAACAAAATTATGTATATAGTGCTCATATAGAGATATATTTGTTTTACCCTTATTACCAGAGTTTTACTTGCTTAGCCAGCTGTACTTTAACCACTTGCCCTGCTGAGGATTTACCCCCCTTCCTGACCAGGCCATTTTTTGTGTTACGGCACTGCATTACTTTAACTGACAATTGCGCTGTCATGCAACGCTGCACCCAAATGAAATTTATGTCCCTTTTTTCCCATGAATAGAGCTTTCTTTTGGTGGTATTTGATCGCCTGTGTGTTTATTTTTTGCTCTATGAAAAAAAAAAAAACAGAATTTTGAGAAAAAAAACTATATTTTTTACTTTTTGCTATTAAACATGTCCAGTAAAAAAAATTTAAAAATCAAGTTTCATCATAAATTTAGGCCAAAATGTATTCTGCTAGATGTCTTTGCAAAAAAAAAAATCACAATACTCTTAAATTAATTGGTTTACGTGAAAGTTATAGCGTTTACAAATGGCAGAATATATACTGGAATTTCTTTTATTTTTACTAGTAATGGCGATCAACTGAAACTGTACTAATTTCACTGGGCAGGAAGGGGTTGCCATGAGGGGGCGATCAAAGGGTTGTGTGCACTGTGTGCTGTTTTACTGTGTGCTGTGTGTTGGTGCTTCACTGTAATCACACTGCTGCGTACAGCCATCCAAAGCAGTGTGCATGAGCTGACAGGGAGGAGAACTGTATTGTTTCCATACAGTTCTGCTCCCCGTCGGAGATCCTCGTCAATCACCAGGTGCCGGCGAGTAATCACCGGCTGGGACCCGGTGATTGACAGCCGCGGCTGTGAATGGCAGCGCAGGTAGGGCGCGCATGCCCCCTACCCGGAAATGCAAAATCACGTATATATATGTGATTTTGCACACCCGTGCTGCCCTGTAGCAGTATGTCTGCTATAGGGGCGGTCAGGAAGCGGTTAATTGTAATTTATTCAAACTCTCTTTTACAGTCTAGTAGTGTCCACCTCTAAGCAAGGTGTGTTCATTTACTGCTTATATCCTACAACTAGGTAAAAGGCACCATACACTTGGGTTGCTACTTGTGTTTGTAGTATTCATTCAACCAGGTGTGCTGGGGGAGCTGAGGGTGTTCTTGGAGTCGAAGCGCAAAACAGGGAACCCAAAATTACCAAGTGGTTTCCTTCGGGGGTAGGGCTACGCTTGTCTTGTATAGATTTTATTAAGTGAAGTTAAAACTGCAGGACCGTTTCCTAAGCACCAATGATTCATCATACAGCAAGGTATAAAAACAATTGAAATCTCAGTAACAGTACTCACAAACCAGATGACTGAGGCAGCATGTGTGATATGGCTGTCTGACTGAGGGCAGCACCAAGGAGTACTGACCCTGTGATACTTGCAAGAAGCTGGTGGTGATTCAGCTCACAGTGATGGCAGAAATGGCTCAGAAAGTGCACATGGGTGACTAGCAGGAAGAGGTTCAGCACTAGCACCCAAATCATGTGTGCACACAAGGCAATAATGGCACGGAATAAATGCAGAGCTGGAGACAACACAATCTAAAATGTTATAGTGCCTCCCCTCAGAGTGCATCACATGCAGTGCTTGCTAGCATTACACTGTAGAGGCGGCAGCTGGAGACACATGTAAGCACTACTGTAGAGTGCATGTGACCAGGGGCAGACTGACAACTCATGGGGCCCCTGGGCAATAGGGGATCATGGGGCCCTGTGTCCTTGCCCAAACTCAAAAAGGCAATGAAAAAGGTACCAGGGGCATCTCATGGGGCCCTCTACTGACCCCGGGCAGTGCCCGAATTTCCAAATGGTCAGTTCGCCCCTGCATGCGACACAATAAAAAAGTCTGTTAGCACTGGTTCCATCAGGGTGTTGCGACATATACAAGGGATGCAGCACAATAGCTCCATAGCATTAACTTCTGAGTTACAATACAACAGGAGACCCACTACACAGGCCAGATTTACATAAAAAAGCATAGCATTTTATTGCTATCAGAAGAGGTCTATTATCAAAGCTTTGGACAGGTGACAGTTTCTCTTTACGGAGACATCCGGGATCTTTTAAACTGCTAATGTCTCCTCTACCCTCCACTGCAGCTAAACAAACGCAGATTGTGTTTGATTAGCTGCTTCCCCAGCCACAGCAGTCAGGTTATACCAGCTCAGGGAAGACAGAAACATTCAGAAATGAGTACTTCCAGCTTTATACAAAACAGAGGAGAGGAGAAGATCAGGGGCAGATGTTATCTGATCTCCTCCCACTTTCCATCCTGAACACATTTGTAGTGGTCCCGAGAAGAGTAGTAGACCCCTGAACCCATGATGGAAGGGGAGGTAGTGAGGAGTGGGAATGGGGGTATGGTAAAAGTGATCATGTAGCCACACAGCCACCTGGATCACTTTTACATTAAAGCCCAGAGTCTGCTGAGTAAAATAGGCTGTCACTGCAGCCATGAGTTTGTTTTAAACTCTTCAGTCCCTGGATGCAACAAATACTGTGAATCCAGAGAGTTTGCCTGGTTTTTTGTTTTTATATAGGTTTTAGTCCAGCAATGGGCAAACTACGGCCCGGCGGACCTTTTAATCCGGCCCGTGGAGCGTGGCAAACATCGGCTGTCAGAATGTGTGTAGACGGGGCAGCGTGAGGAACGCGAGGGGAGCTAGGCTCCTCTCACAGTCCGCCCTGAAGACCGGAACGGCACGGGAACACGGCGAGAGGAACGCGCGGAGAAAAGGTAAGTGAATTGACACAGGGGGGACTTGTCTTACTACTTGGGGGGGGAATAGTACTGTGGGGGATGAAATACTATATGAGGGATGAATTAATATGGGGGATGAATTAATATGGGGAATGAATTACTATATGGGGATGAATTACTATGGGGGATGAATTACTATATGGGGGATGAATTACTATGGGGGATGAATTATGGGGGATGAATTACTATATGGGGGATGAATTACTATATGGGGGATGAATTACTATATGGGGGATGAATTACTATATGGGGAATGAATTACTATATGGGGGATGAATTACTATGGGGGATGAATTACTAT